ACATAAATTTTGAAAATTAGCGAAAATTGGACATGGTAAAAACCAGTGGTTGTAATCTCCAGCAGATATCTCGTTACTCTCTCAAAGAAACACAATGAAGTTTAGCATTTGGAAAGAGGAAGAAATTCTGCATCGGATATGTTTTAAAGTGTATGTTTATCTTCATTCTAACGTGTTTGCCGATGGATTGAGAAAACTGACAAACTTTAGCACCAACCTAATATTATGTTGTCTCGTATGTCTTTTCATTTTTGAGTTTTTTTTGATGAGTCAGACACTTTTTGTTCTAAATAGACATAAAGGTACCGTTTGATAAAGCAAAGCAAGCTCTATGAGATGGCGTTTATGCTTTTTGCACCAGCTTCGATCTATCTCAAGTTTAAACCAAGATTTGAAAAGTTTCGGATGCCCACAAAATTGAAAAATTTTTATAGCTTTGTTCAAAAAAGCCTTCAAATCCCTCACTCGCTTACGCATGTACACTCCAACAGACACTCATATGTGCTGTTGCTGTTTTTTATTAGACTAGAAATCAAGAAAACAAAAATTTCCATGTTCACCAAAGTGATGCTGTGCTTTTTACACTAACAGTTTACAACAAGCCCTTGAAGGTACAACCATGAACTTTTAGCTTCCTACAAGCTCAGGTTTTCAAGAAAGTTAAGTTAAGCTTGGAAAACCCGAGTGAGGAAGGCTAGATTTGATATTTCTCGGGAACGAGACTGTACAAAAAGTAAAAATTCAAGATTGTACTTCTAAGAGCTTGTAGTGCACAAGTGATAGTGTACAACCAACATAACATCACTTTGGTATAAACATAAAAATTTTCGTTTTTTTTTTTGATTTCTAGCTAATAAAAAAATACAGCAACAGCACATATGAGTGTCTCATGTAAAGTATATGCGTGAGCGAGTGAGAGATCCGTGGGCCTTTTTTAAACGGAGATGTAAAAAATTTCAGTACATAGCTTCCATGTTTCATCTTTTTTTAACCTCGGCATAGGTTAGTAGGTTAGTATGCCAGCACGAGATTAGTGGATTTGATTGTCAGGCCGCCGCTAAACATCAAAATCTACTAGCCTGCTGACATACTAACCTACTCACAAAAAATTTTCAATTTTTTAGGCATCCGAAACGTTTTGGGTTTTGTTTCAAAGTTGAGATGGGTCGAAGCTGGTGCAAAAACATAAACGCCATCTCATAGAGCTTGCTTTGCTTTATCAAGCACTATTTTGATGTCTATTTAGAGTAAGAAGTGTATGACTTATAAGAGCGAAAACTCAGTAATGAAAAGACTTATGGGACAACCTAGATAGAAGGAATGGAGAAATTAAATAAACTTTTGTTTTATGCGGTTTAAAAAAACTCAAGTAGACTATGCAAAAAAGAAAAAACTGTTTCCTTTTTTGTCACTTAATCAGTTGTTCATCGTTCCTCGCCTATTTGAGCCTCTGAATTGTGCAGTTTCATGAGTTTTGCACCTCAAGAATACGTCAACTCATTTGTATTAGGTTGTCCGGAAATTAATGTCAGTTTTGAATTCCAACCGCAATGAGTCATACACTTCTCATTTCTAAACAGGTTGCAAAACCATTCGATAGAGCAAAGCAAACTCTACAAGATGGCTCTCTTGCTTTTGCAATAGCTCTTATCAACCTCTAGTTTCAAGGTGAAAAGTAAAAATACTCAGCTGCCCGAAAAATCGAAAAAAATCGTAACTCAGTTCATAAAAATCCCGCAAAAATTCTTACTTGCCCCAGTAAACACTGTCCACATAAAACATCTACATACGCTTTTGCAGTATTTCTTCCTCTGTTAGTCAAGAAAACGGAAATTTTTGTGAATTTGCCAAAGTGGTGCTGTGCCGTCCCCACATAGGTAGTTGTATACTACAAACCTGTAGAAGTACAAACGTAAGTTTTCAGTTCTCTGCAAGCTTTAGTTCTCGAGAAATACCGAATATAGCTTTCCCTAGTTAGGTGGTCCAAGCTAAAATTCAGATTTCTCGAGAACTAAAGCTTGTAAAGAGCTTACTTTCACGGGCTTGTGATATACAACACCCTATGTGGCGACGGCACAGCATCACTTTGGCAGACGCACAAAAATTTCCGTTTTCTTGGTTTTTAACAGAGGAATACGGCAAAGGCGTATATAGATATTTTATATGAATACCAGTGCGTCACCTCTGCTTCGCAGAGGCTCGCACTGGTCTTACTTCATATGCTTACTCATTCTTGACCAATGGTGGCAATGAAACTCACCGGGCAGTGCCGATTATCGCGACTAAAATGTAAACAACTACCCATTCCAAATGCTATTTCATGTAAGATCGGTGATTTCGCATGGATAAAACTTTTCGCAAAAGAACAAATACAAATTTAATGTGTTTTTGGACTCTTTCTGGCTTGGTAACTGCCATAAGGACAGTAGGCTACGTGAGCTACATCTCTGTGCAAAATTATTCTCAAATACTCAGGTAAAACCATGGCAAATTGACCATTTACGCAACAATTTCTTTTTGGCGTCGTTTCGTAAAGTAGTGAACTTTTGCCCACTTTTTTGGACTAAAATCCATGGCCTGCACATTAGCATGCCAAACACATCCCCGACTTCGCAAAAAGTGGTGATACGGAAACAATTTTGCTGGCCAAAACCCAAGTGGCTCTGTTTGACGCGCAGTTTCTGAGGGATCCGTCCAACAAAATTACTCGTGCTTTAGCATGGTAGGCTCTTATGTTGGTCGCATGCGATGTGCAAAATTTGGGCTCAGGACGTTGGCTGGAACTCGCTCTATGAATTTCGTTACAGACAGACACACAGACATACGTACACACCAGTGGCGTACCCAGGATTTCGGCTCGGGGGGGGGGGCGCGGCAAAAAAATTTTTCAAATGAAGGTGCGTGGCGTTAGCCACGCACTCCGAAAAATTTTTAGGGGGGCTTCTCAACAATTTTGCGCCCCCCCCCCAACCCCTAAAATCTGGAAAAAGGGGGCGTGGCGTCAGCCACGCCCCCGAAAAAAAATTTTTTTATAAGGCTAATTTTAATTTTTAAAAAATGTTAAAAATTATTTTAATTGTTTACAAAAATAAACAAGTCATTTGCACATTTTTATAACTCATGTAAGTAACTTTCAAAAATTTCGCGACCCGTTCTCGGGGGGGGGCGCGCCCCCCCCCTCGGTACGCCACTGGTACACACACACAAAAACACGTAAACAACCTTAGCTCGTTATTATAAGTTACTAGTTGGCTTTCCCGGTCCAGCCCGGGCCATTTTCATCTGCACTGCAAGCTCCCCCTCCCCCCCCCCTCTTATATGTTATGGATGACTTACCCCGGGACATCCGCTTCGATACCGCATCCTCGCGATCCCGAGGTAAAAATGAGCTTCACCGCCCTCCTTTACATGAAATGGGAGAATGCTCGATTAAACATGATAAGCTTTCAATTTTTTAGAAAAACGTAAACTAATCAATAAATCGATAGAAGGGCCCCTTGAATCGCCCCGAAAAGTAGCCTATCATCTGCGCAGGGGTCGAAAACATAAGTGTGCAAAGTTTCAGATGAATCGGTTGAGCGGCGCGCGTTTCTATAACGCACATACCCTCCAACTGACAATTTTTGAGTTTTATATATATATAGGTGAGTGTTAACGTGAGCAAATAAGAATTTTCATAGGATATTTATGGACTGAGTTACGATTTTTCTCCATTCTTCGGGCAGCTGAGTCTTTTTACTTTTTACCTTGAAACTCGAGGTATAAGAGCTATTGCAAAAGCAAGAGAGCCATCATGTAGAGCTTGCTTTGCGCTATCGGATGGTACTTTGCAACCTATTTAAAATTGAGAAGTGTATGACTTATTGCGGTTGAAATTCAAAATGGGCATTAATTTCCGGACAACCTAATACTGTAAATTACTTTTGAGGGCAGCGTCCAGGCAGATCTGGACCTATAGGGATTTTACGTGGAAAGTACTTTTGGGGCCCTAACTAAAGCACTGCTCAAGCGGCAGCGCAGGTAGTGCTCTAACGCCTGAGACACTCCCCCTCGAAACTGGACCCCGCGATCGTATTCGCATGGATTCGTGGCAGTTTCGCGCCAGGATCCACGCTTTGCGCTGTGAATCCATGCGAAATACGATTGCGGGGTCCAGTTTCGAGGGGAATATCTCAGCCGTTAGAGGACTACCTGAGCTGCCGGTCGGGCAGTAGCTTGGTTAGGGTCCCAAAATTACTATCCACGTGAGATCCCCATATGTCCAGACTTGCCTGGACGCTGCCTTTAATTTACGCGACTTGCGGGGATTTTGTCTGATTCTTTTCTTTTGCGCCTATCTCCCTCGGTTCACTCTATAATTTGCCCTAGGCTAAGTGGCATTCTATTGAACTGACCGTGGCACTTGGCCGGACTTTTCTGACTGCCGAACACACTATCGTGGAGCACGGGAAGGCGGACGGTTTTGAGTTTACCCTAAGAAGTTCTTCCAAATGACTAATCTCAGGTCAACGGAGACGAATGGGGGGGGGGGGGGGTTTAATAAGGGCCACCATCTGATTCTTAGCTAAACCATATCATGTTGCTTGCGGTTTTCTCATACGAGCTTCTAGGAAATATGAGCAGCAACTATACGTCCGCCCCGCCCAGTGAGTACATCGTCGCAGGAGTCCTCATGACAGCAGTGAGATCGCCTTGCATGATTATTTATAATCTGAACTCAATAACCATTGTCGCACGTTTAGCTTGGAGTCATTGGCATGAGCATCAATATTGCTGTGATTCTGGCCATCATACGTACACCATTATTCCACAATGCGTTCGGCTACATTTGTACTTTGCATCTGATATCCAACGCGGGAGAATTGCTGGTTTTCTCTCTTTGGAGCGGGCCTGCAACACTTTTGTACAGTTTGGCATTGAGATTATGTTTCGTGAGTCACTGATGAGTTGCAGGCAACTTGATGCGTCAGTCACAGATAGTTTTCTTGTATCAAGAATAGCACAGGTTTACCTTTTCTTCTGGTTTTGTTCACTATATAGTGATCTTCAAATAGCTATAAATCGTCTTATAGCAATTGGATGGCCATTAATGTACAAGTAAGCGCTTTGTTAGCTACTCAAAAAAAAAGAATGCTTTGGTTTTTTTCAATTTAGTCAGACTTTTGCTGGGAAAAAACTCATTTACTTTATTGGTGGCTTTTGTATTCTATCTTTTATTCATGCTCTCGTATTCAGCACACGTAAGTTTACAATAAAGCCATTTCGTATCTTAATATGCGCGGACGCATGCACCATTCATTACGTGCCATCCCGGATGTTAGCTGGAAGAACGAATTTTTACGATTAGTGCTTTTCGAGCGTCTTTTGGATAGTTTTTGTTCGTCCCACGTATAAATGAAAGCACTTGGAGGATTTTTTTAACACGTTGATGACCGAGCCATTTTTGACCACATCAAAATGGACTGATGATCTACGGCTGCGGTTTAGACTGTTTAACAGCTACCGCAATGCCGTGTGGTCTATATGACAACCAGGCCACCAGTGTTATCACTGCATAGAAGTTACCTGAGAACTTTTCGTTTACACATGATAAATTGATGCAAGAAAGTGCTCAATGGTGGTCAGGGCGTGCATACGCGCGGATGCACACGGTCGTCAACGTGTTAAAAGATAGCATGCAGAACAGTAATGCCTCCAGGCTGGGTACACGCAATATGAAAGCTATGTGTTCTGAAGCTACGAAATGACTAAAGTACCTCTGATCCATTAGTTTTCCAATGATCGTAATCATTATTTGAAGATGATTGTTCACAATGGTTTGACACAACGACATTTTCATTTACCATTCGTGCTACCACCTGCGGTTACATCGGAACTTATTACACAATCCTTGTTCATGTTATATGCGTTTGCGCTTTGATATTTATCATTGACACAATAACACTCTACTACATATGGAAAAGAGCACAGGCGAGTATGTGTCAATGGCTGTTCTTAAGGGGAAAGATTATTACGAAAAGGGATTACGTAGTACGTAACTTGTGTCAATGAATTGCGACTAACGGTTACGCTCATGATGCGAGTGTTAGGCACGGGGCCAGGGCTGGGCACCAGCTGAAACCAGGGAGATTTTGTAACGAAGTTCCCTTTGATTTCGACAATTTTTATAAAGTTCCCTTTGACCTGTTTTGACCCCACCCCTTCACTAATTTTCGCTTGTCTTTTTTGCCTGTGCTGTCGCCACCTCAGAAAACTCCCTCTTTATTAAAGAATTCAAAAAATGTTTTACTTTCTGCATCATGCGCAAAGCATTTTACTCCATGGTCGAAGCCTACCGCTTCAGCACTTGTCTCCCTCCCCTCCACATTTCCCTCCTTCACTTTTCACGTCATCCTCACCTTTTCTCTCCCTATCCTATTCACCTTTACTCTCCCTTCCCCTGGGAATGATTATAAAGCTGTACAGCAAGCAGAAAATATGGAAAAGGGAAGAAAGGCAAGCTTAATTAACACGCATGGCTTGCTTGAGAGCGCGCTTGGCGGAGCAGGTTGGCTACTGCAAATTTGAGTGCTATTTTTTGCTCTCGTAAAAATATCAATGAATGTACATCACTCACACATTTTATCGGGATGCCGGGGGTGGTTGTTCGACTCCCCCCCCCCCCCCCTCCCCTTTCCATGCCGCGAGCTGTCCTAAACCGACATTTGACCGACAGGTGACCGCCGGCGCATCCTGTAAGTGCTCGTTAAGCGCCTATAGTTGATTCTTAACGCTTGTAAGGCCTGGGAAGAGTGGATAAACCTTTTAGTCTATCTTTCAAGACGACGACTTGAGTGCAGTTCGAGCAACTTGTTTGCCCATTCGCCGACATTATCTAACGTCCTTGATAACACTCTTCCGACTGTAAGAACTTACTTTATAAGCTCAAAAACTCGACTCTAGAAACAAATTCGAGAAGCGATAATCAGCCTGATGAGTGCTTAGGGTAGTCCTCCTCGCGTCTTTACCTACCGAGTGCAAGAAGTGCTGCCTTTGATAAGGCGCGCGGCCTGCCGAGTGATTTGGTTGGGTCGTTCTCAAAAATCTCTCCTCAAGTTCAACTTTGGCCGCGGCGTGCGAAGCTGAATTTTCAAGGGCCGCGGGGCACCATGTAACACGCTTTGTTGTCAAATTTCGATATATTTGCCTGAGAAAGCAAAAAAAGCTTGAAGAATTATTGAGCAAAAGGTCGCTTTCATCTCATAAGGAAAGCTACCTAAATTAGCTCGCCTTTTGGCAAGAGATATATACTCAGATAATCCGGGGGCAGCGGTTTGCTATCCGCAAACTCGCGCTTTTCTGCAAGCGGCCAGCAAAATTTTGTGGCATGGCTAGAACTCCAGCGGTACTTTACTGTCGCATGTTCTGCCAGCGGGTAGCAACACAGAATTTCCTGCAAGCGCTCGTCAAATAATTTCTCTCAGCTGGCCAAACATTCAGCAGGCCCTCGGACTCTTTTTACGCAGTTTCGGGCAATTGCGTCGTGAATGTTGAGACTCTACTCAGATAGTCGCTTGGGGCAGGCGGTCATGCGAATTATGGGCGAGTGGGCGCCGAAAAATTGTTCGCTAACTTCCTGCGGTACGCTTCATATTTGGGAGAATATTGGCAAAATTCTGGACGATTACTCGGGGAACAATTGCGGCTTGTTCATAGATTACTCAGATAATCGCCGGGGGCAGGCGGCCATGCGATTTTTGGACAAGCGGGCACCGGAAAAATAGTTCGCTGATTTCTTGCGGTCCGCTTGCAGAAATTTGGGAGAATGTTGGCCAATTTTTAGACGAATGCTAGGAGAACAGTTTTTCTATGGATTAGTTGCGGCGCGGTGGCCGCATTCTCGCGGACTTTCCGCGAGAATATGTAAAATTACTCAGGGCCGCGCGGTCCTTTGTGGAGGACCACATAGCCCGTAGGTACCTTCCGTTAGGAGAAAGTACCCCAAACTCGGATAATTAAATCATCGATGACATCTCCGCCATATAGAGTCTCACCTTTGCTCGGGTACTTCCGAAACTGCTTAAAAAGAGTCCGAGCGCCTGCTGAACGTTTGCCAGAGCTCGCTGAAAGAGATTATTTGACGAGCGCTAGCAGAAAATCCTGTATTGCTGCCTGCTGGCAGATCATGCGACAGTAAAGGAAGTACCGCTCGCTAAAGGTTTGGCCACGCCCCCAAATTCGGCTGACCGCCTGCAAGAAAGTGCGAGTTTGCGGACAGCCTGCCCGTGGCGATTCTCTGAGTATATATATCTAGGTCAGCTTCAAACGCTGATTCCATACAATTCTTAGCTGCGACGCACCTTTCCGAATTAAATTATGGGCAATGTCAAGCTTATGGTGTGGCATGCCACATTTTAGGGGTCGTATTGAGGGGCCAGAAAGGGGGGGGGGGGTCGCTATTGAGGTGATTCTGGTATTAGCGATGACATGATATTCTTTACAACGTCAGATAGGCCCACTATGCAAAGTACCAAACATCGATTTTCGTCCTACCATCGTAAATATACAATTAGATAATAAAACTACCGGCATAGAAAGCATCATTTTCATAAATATCAGGTTGTATAATAAGTTCGTTCGTATTTTTTGTTTCATTTTCATCTCAGTATTTTACAAAGCATTTGGCATAGGGTTAATATGCATTTCGAAGGTCTAAGTCTGCTTTACCAAAATACTACCATCATTATATTCCCAGTCTTTGAAAAATTGAATAAAGAATTTGACTACAAACCGAGAAATTAAATTTGATACGGCGAAAAGCCAATTTCGACAACTATCTTATGCTGCGCCTCGAATGGGTTTGAGCGCTTAAGATAAGAAACAGCTCAAAAATTTTGCGACATGTAAAAATAGGATATCGTAGCTCCCGCAGATTACTTGTAGATGCTAAAATCTTTCAAAAATTCATACTATGAGCTCAAAAATAGGTATGTTTTTTATGTCTCTTTGGCGTCGACGTTGTGTATGTGAAGGCACCTTTGAGGAAGGATAGTAGTCGAACAATCCAGGAATTGGAAGACAAGTGGTCTATGATCGCTAAATCATCAAACAAATGGATTATATAGTCAAAAATCCAGAGTTTGAGGGACACAGAGCCCACGTACACACAACGAACACCGCTGCGGCAAAGCCTTGCTATGCTGACTTTCGCAAAAATTTAAAGGTCGGTGAAAAGAAATAGGCGATCATAAACAGTTTCATAAGCGCGTAAATGATTGGTCAATTGTTCTTCTTCCTTTGTCAAGTTTTTTGAATACATTTTAACAATGAATGACGGGAAAACCAAAAAAGAAAAAAGTGTCGAAACCAGAATTTTTGTCTTCTTAGTTTTCTCGGTGTGGAAGAGAACTGAAAATATAATAACAAAGTTTGATAGAGCAGACTTTGAGCTTTCAAATGCATACTAACATTTTGCCAAATGCTTTACAAAATATTGAGAAAGAATCAAAAGAAAAAATGCGAGCGAACTTATCACACAACCTAATAGAAAGTCAAATGGCCCTTGTGGGCCAAGTTTCAGCAAATTTTGGGGTTTCTATTAGGTCACCCAAGTGAGATGGCCATTTATATCGCTTCTGTTTTTAGGTGAGTCAACTACTTCTTCTTGCCCTTAGTACAAAGTACTACTACTCTTTTGCTCACCTTAGAAATCTCACATCAAATGACCTCCAACCTAGGGAATCAGGAGCAAGCCAAAATCTCGTCTGTCCCATTTTTCGCTTACAATATCTCAAACTAGAAAGGAACAGTCACACCTAAATCGCTTTCGTGGAAACCAGGATGAGGATTAGGCTATCGTATATAGCTATTCTTGCTGGCTTTCTTCGCGATGCACGTAGTGGCGGAGACTTAGCATGTTACTGTAACCCAATGTTTCCGCAGCATTTTCAATATGCATGGGTAAAGAAAAACCAATATAATTTACCCTAGAAGAAAAAAATTATGAACGAAGCCCCCATTATTCAGAGAAGAAGGTTTAACAGTGGCAACGATACGAAAAACAGATATTCAAGTGCTCTAAAGGTAAGTTGATGGGGTGTGGCACAACCGCTGAAAAGTTGTGGCAGCCACGGCTGTTTTGGGGTTGTGCCACATCCGTTAGCTTTCCCCCATAGAGAATTTTGGTGATTTTTATACATACGGTTCGACAGTCGAAATCTCTTAGTTTTTGTAAAAGTAATTCAAGCTGGTTTCGTTTTCTTTCATTCCAGTAAGAAGAAGCTACGCAAATGTATTGGTTGTAAGGAAAGTTCCCGGGCAGTTTTGGAAATTTCATTTTCAAACGCATTTTTTGGCGCTCGGTCGGAGTTTGACACCAAGTGTTGTATAGTGTTCAGTAGAGCGAAGCGTAAGCTTTTCAATACCGCTTCTGATTTCTATCGATGCCAATACGTGTTTGATCTACACATTAAACAAGGAAGTCTTTTCAACCATAAAAATTTCACAATTTTTCTTTCTGAGGCCATTTTTTTGTGCAGTTCGAAGAATTCCGTTCAAATTATGGGTGATCTGATTGAGGAGAGTTTTGACTTCTAATCCGCAGCTGCACTCGGGTTTTGCGTTCAGGAATTACAAGCTGTCGAACTTGCACCTGACTGCATCTCTTTTCGCAGCTGGCGTCGCTTCTGCGGGAGTCCCCACGCCTGGATGATGGGTCCAAAAGATGTGTAAGGCATTAACCCAACAATGTTCGCAGTAATCAAAGATTTGGTCCGCCCTGTGCAAAACGAGAAGACTTCAAAGCAACTTACTCGAAAAACGGTGCATTTTTGGGGGCAAAAAATGGTCGATTTTTCAACTTTTCTGGAAAAGAATTTTTTGCAGGTGGTCGCTTAAAGACTTAAATAGTC